AGGAAATATACGAGAAAGTACGTCGTATGACGGCGCGCAGCCACCGTGCGAACTAGCAAAAAAATTCATCGGCCGTAGTGGTCAAGGCCAGGCCCTCCTCACTTGTGGAGCACTTCTTACGAGAACGAGCCACAACATATGTGCTTTGGATTCGTGGATACCTCACTCACGGCGAGACTATAATCTAATTGCGACCCAACAAATATTCGAAACTTCGAAGATAAAAGGATAATAAAGGATAAAGCATTTGCCGTTGATCAATCCCTTTTTGGGATGCGGCACGCATTCTACTTCCATTTGTACATTCGTAGTGGCGTTTGAATGCGATGTGGCCTATACAATGACTTGCGGGGGCCAGCCGATGTACAAGTCAGTGTTTTTATCCTCCCAGACAAGTCTGGTACCAATTAACCGACCCCGGAGGGATGGAAGGCTTGGTTGGCCCGGGCGACTCACGACCCAGGATTTGATCCCGGACCGCTCGCGTGGTAAGCGCGCCACTTGTCACTACACCACTTTCGACGAATAAACTAATAAAAAAATAAAAAACTGGGCAATTTTGGATTCACAAGGCGATAGTCAGAATTTGCGATTGAGCGGTACTGTGCACATTGCAGGAGCGACGGGAGATTTACACCGCCAACCACCGATAATTCGGCACCATCAGCTCGTAAATCTCCCGTCTCGCAGCTCCCTGCCACAACGGCCAAGGAGGCACATCACGGCCCGACCCGATGGATCGCTTGAGCGATCCGTCGGCTCCAAGTGCGAGCACGGGAAGCATTTACCCCGAAGCGGACGCAGTGTGTATCAGGTGGTCGCGGTATTGTAATCTCCCTCAGCCGCACTGCGATCACGTACGATTATGAACTGATGCGCGAAGCGTCATAAAATCTCCCGTCGCTCATCGCTCAATTGGTGCAAAAGTCGCTTCCAATCGCAAGTTGACTCGGGCATACGCGACTCTATTTATATGACACATTTGAGCCTACTACAGTAAGGGGCTTATGTTGTAATGAACTGCCGATCCCAACTTGCACGAGAGAATCAAAGTTATAAGCTGCTGGCAATCATTATACGCAATTCGTCGGTCGGTTTTTGCAAGCAGGTTTTTGCACAAGTGCGAAGAAGCTTGACTCATGAGGGGCAGCTTCGTGAGGACTAATATAAGTGAAGGGAGGGACTCCGAAAGAAGGTGAACGATTGCTTAGCACCGTGGGTCTCCACTTTGCGCTCTAACGCTTACTACAGTCGTTTATATTAAAAGAAACGGATGTGGACTAGGACAGTAGGGACTTCCTTTTCGCAGCCGAAACCTTTTGCACTGCGAAGGAGCTGGATCCTTCATGATCATGAGTGATATAGGTGCCTGAGCGGCAAAGTGCTGCAGCGAAGATGTAAGCGGTCTTGGTTCTAGCGATCCACACACTGTATTGGATAGCAGAATGACGGTTGCTAATGGAATAGAATAAGCTATCAAACAGAGTGTGCGACGTTTGCAGTTTTAGCAGAGCACATCAAAGGCTTTTTCCACAGTCAGCTATGAATGTGCGAGTGGACATTTAATTGGGATGGAAATGAACCAACTCCTTCGGAGCAATGATTTCACGCTCGAATCAGAAACGCGCACAAAGCACGCGCTGCAAACGCTGCCAGTTTTCTGGCACATGGGCGACCCAGTTTTCGATTTACGGCCTTTTTGTTGTGAATAGCTATACTATTGAATACCTTCTCCTTAGGTATCCTTTACAACTTTAGTTATTTGTTCTCTCTTGTATCTATCTCTTATTCAATTTTTGGCGTTGATTCAGTTCTTGTAAATCATCTTATCCTTTATTACATGTGGACTTGTATCAATGTCGCTTGTTGTTTTCAACTTCAGTAGAAACTGTTTGTTAAATCCTGGGGCCGTAAGCTATCCTCCCCGAAGAGGTTGGGGATGAAAAGTCCTTTAAACTTTCTTTGTCTTCCCATGTGATATTGCCCTGATAAAGGACCTACATTTTAATGTATGTATGTAGGTGAAAGAACATGCACTGAAAATGAAAAAACTATCGTTCGAATTGAATAAATTCAAAGGAAACTTTGGGTCACTGAGCTTCAATACAGGAAAAATTAGCATAAGACCTGGGATGTTTAACAAGAATGCTGACTTTTCTGACTTATGGGCAAAACTTAATAAAAAGTAGTTGAAGGAACTTTAACTTACCGACTCCTTTTTACAAGAGCTTAGTTAGGTGTGCAGTGGTGCGCATCGTTTTTTTTTTCGGCGGAATCGGTCGGTTCTCATTGTAGAAATTTTCAGTGTAACTTGAAACCATATTTTTTAGGCCATGGCTCCGCAGTTTCCTGATTTTAGACGAGTTCGAAGGCGAATCCGGAGAACGTTGTGTTATGGATCGAAGCAACCACAGAATGTCAACTTACCGCTTTCCGGTATATAGTTTATCGTTGTCATTAGTATATTTAACATTGAATTCCGGCCTTTTTAAATAGAGTTGTCACTGTTTTCTCTTGGAGCCAGTGTGGAGCTATGTGCTAGTGACGACATTACTTCTAGTCCAGTGCCAGATTTACTTTAAACCTAGAATATGACGTGCGTAAGGATGTCGTTGACTATTTCGCGCACAATACTTTCACATCAGTCTCCACTGCGATACGACTTATGACGACTATGGCGTTACTTTGAATTCAGAAATACTAACTGCGGCGATCGACGAAAACCCGGTGTTTGGTAATTTGGGGTATGGCGTCATGCAAACATTGAGAGAAAAGAAGCTAATCTGAGGGCCGTCATAGGGATGCTGCTCACGGGCACACTGCTTGCGCGGGAATCGCACCTGCAGCTCTTTTTTAGGCAATGTGTCATTGACCAACGAAAACGGTGTTCATGCTATGTACGCAATCAGTTAATACTAAATTGTTAAAGCATGGTAAACACCATTGAAAGCTAGGTTAATAGGAGGGTTGTGCCCCGGTGGTGTAATGGTTCTCTTAAAGTGAAAGGTGCGATTCGGTCACGTCTGAAGGAACTGTTTACCATCACACGGCATCCCTGTAGTAACTTCTGCATGGTTGCATCGAAAAATACCAGTTAGCAATCTAATGCAATTTTTGGGTATCCTTTCTGAAGAGTCGACATTTTGATTGTCTAGTTCTTAGTCGTATAACTTTTAAGGCAAAAAGAAAGTTATAGACTCATTACAATGTTTAAGTATATGATAATGAATTGATTTTAACGTTGACGACGTTTAGTATGATGTCACACCACACTCTTTAGGCGCGTGCCCGTGTTGAATAGGATGTCACAGTCTTTTTGAAGCTGGTTTTCAAACATTTCAGGTAACCTATTTATGTAATGTATACGCCATGCTTAGGAATTGTTACAAAAAGCGGGGTTCCTGGAAAGAAGCTTCGATTAATGGGCTATCGAGTTCGAAAAATGCTTGAATAATGATCAGTGGTGGTACTTTTTGTGGTTGTGCTGAAATTGATCGGTGCAAGGAATGTTTGCAGTAACAATTTGCTGCAGTGGGTGAGGACACTTTTGGTCGGAGACGGATATATGCGCGTCCTATGATTCTGCATAGTTGTAGCCGCTTCTGCGTTCTCTGTGAACGTTTTCCTTTGCCTCCTTTCCACCTTTCCCACGAACCTTTGAGTTTATGAGCGGTTTTCGAGATGTAAGTCCGATAGTAATCCAACGCTCATATTATAAGCTAGAGATAAGGGGACCAGGAAGCAGGGTGAATAACGGTCGAGGAAATCCTCGACCATAGCTCTCTACCATGCGAGAGTAGTGCCGAGAGTGAACATCCGCGCGGAGAGCACAGACGGCACGGCATGGCGAGTGTGAATGTCCGCGCGAGAGATCGTCTCTGATCGGGCAGAGAATCCTCGACGTGCCGTTGAGGAATCCTCAAGCGATATTCACCCTCAGGAAGTGTTCTAAGAGAGATCCTATTAAGCACAAGGTTAGCGTTGGGGGGCCCCTTTCACGCCTCTCATATATCGCAGGCTCCTAAATGATCAAAATCGCAAAACCCGAGACTTACCACACAAGACAGATAAAAAAAAGTTCCGCAAACAAGATGTTCTCGTGGGACCGTGTGAAATGATGTCATGTCACATTCGCGCGGTCCCACACTCCAGACAACGAAAACGAGCGCGGTCGTCAACGTGTTAAACTGCGAAGTGGGTATCAACAAACTAGCAGAAACTGCTTGACGAGAAGTTTTTTTTTGAAATCTCATTGTCTTCTGCTGTGAATTATTATTTGATTCCTTTTATTATACTTTGTTTCTGGTGCTGAAATTGTTCCAATTTATGCGTGCTCGATCAGTAGTTAAACCCATTGCGGACCGCGTGCTACACGCAACTTGCGGAGAAGAGAGAACTTTGATATTTTCAAATTTTGCAACTAAGTTACAAAATCAGCAGTTTGCTTTTTCACACACAGGATATATCAAGTACTTGCGTACTGGATTAAATTTTCGATAGATTATTGGCCACGGATAAAAGAGATGACAAAAACCTACGGAGGTGCAATTATAACGGCGGTCCGCAATGGGTTAATTATAAAAATGAACAATTGTTTTCATAGTAGTTTGAGATCAAGGTCTTGTACGTCTCTTCCTGTGCGGAGAGTGTATCAGAATTATTTACTCGATGCACCGCGATTCTCTTCCGTCGTTCTGGATCATTGCGACTGACCGGAGTGCAAGGAGTCAAGTTATCTAACGCAGTAGCTTTTGGCCATGCCCTGATAGTGCACCGTCCTAGGTTTCAGTGTAGGAGCGCTTGGCAAGTTCATAAAAAATAGTGATTTTTGAGACGATCGGCGCAATCGCCGAGCATTATTGTTATGATTTATTTTTTTAGAAATGAATTTGAGCTGTTGGACACATTCAATAAACGGAAAGTCCTTTCGTTTAATCGTACAAAACGTTAGATCTGCGAAGCATTCGGATCGTGATATGTCGATCCTGTACTCTTGTCGTGCCATGGTTATCTGACGTACTTCGGACCGTAAACGATTAAGGTGCGTTGGGTGATTGTAGTCCGTTTTATGTATCGTTTCTCTTCCGTTCCCTTAATTGAATATTATTTTTTATTTGTCTTGCGTTTCTGCTAAGATCATCGCATTCTGTCGAGTTCCGTTTACTCTAGTCCAAACACTCCTTGTACCCTAGGACATATTCAAGATGTGTAGTACGAACAGTTAGGCCACTTCATTCAAATGGGCGCTTCAGAACGTCATTAGATATTTTCGGATGCATATGACACACAATTGCTGCGCCGCCTAACCAGGCTGCAAGGCGGCGTGAACCGATGTAGCGCTCGGTTTTTGAAATATTATTCTCCCATAATTTACGTAGAATTTCAAGTAATCTGGGTGTACCATCGTACACTCTCAACCCTAAAGACTAACATACGTTTCCAGGATCAAAACGGCTTCATGTTCCCCAAATTTACAAGAATCTCAGTAAAATGCTTTCATGTGTAGATCCTTTTGCTACCCTATTTTCCGGTGTATAAGCCCCCGCTAGTATCATGTAAAAACACCTCCACTGGTGCAGTGTACTTGAGTACATCTAGAGTCAACCGTAACATGCCCATAGGGGTAATTCGATATGCTGATCACGAAAACGACATTCGTTTTTAGCGGTGGCGGCATCTGGCGCCAGTTGGCGCCACCTTGTCACGACCCTTGTTTTCGCCAAAATCGGGTGTAAACTTCAGTATAGGGGTTATTTGGGACCCTGATTACGAATATGACATTCGTTTTTGGCGTTAACGTTGTTTAGTGCACATGTCTCGGTTGGAGAGCGCAGACGAGCAGAAAATAGGCGTCAAACAGCGCCAGCGCCTATAATGAATGTCATATTCGTAATCAGGGTCCCAAATAACCCTATACTGAAGTTTACACCGATTTTGACGAAAACAAGGGTCGTGACAAGGTGGCGCCAACTGGCGCCAGATGGCGCCAGCGCTGAAAATGAAAGTCATTTTCGTGATCAGGGCATCGACTTACCTCTATAGGCAAATTTGCGGTGGTTTCTAAGGTGTACAAAGTTACACTGCACGAGCGGGGGTGGTTTTACGTGAAATCGGCGCGGGCTTATACACCGGAAATTAGGGTAATTTTGCTTTTTTTGACTTATTGAAACATACTACTCAAAATCATCGCAAATAATGACGATGAAAGAAAGAAAAAACATAAGAAGCTTATGAGAAAGTGTTACTTAGGAAGTATGCAGAAATTCAATTAAGGAAAAAAACCGTTTGTTCTTATAATTTAACTTCCGATCTTGCTTTGTTTTAATGTTGGAAATCTGCCCGTTTGATATACAGTAACTTCCATTACGTGCTTTATTTTTGCTATTATTGAACAGATTTTCGAAGAGTTTCGTTGCTGTTAGGCACTCTTTCAAAGCTCAAGGTCGATCACTCATTTTTTGGTCATTCCTCTTTTTAATATTCTCCTCACATTTCGGGTCGGTAGTTCTCATTCTCTTGCGGGTTCAGTTTAGAGGTTATTCCTTCTCTTTCCACTGCTTTGCAGTTTGCTAGACGGCTCGATGAAATACCGTGAGTTTTAAAAAGAATCGTTCAGCTCTCAGTTTAGCTGTTTGCTTGCCGAGTAATCGCGTCGGAAGTTGACTTAGTTCTTACTAACTGGAACATGTCTTCCCGCAAACCAATACTTAGCAATAAATAAACAGTTTTAAAAGGAGAAGCTTTGAAACGAGCGAAATGTCACGCGCACGTAATTTTTCGCCCTTTGTTGTTTTAATCACTAATTACTTCATTGATATCAGAAATTTCAAAAGATTATAAATCGACTGGCATGTAGCCGTTGTGCAGCGATCATCATCTGTAGGCGCGGTAGACCACGACATTTGGAAAACCAGTCAAACCTTGCTGAACTTAAAGTACAACATCTTGCTGGGATATTTTCCGTCACATTGGCCTGATCGCGAACAGTTGCGGACAGCACTTCGACATTCTTTTGGCTAAAAGAAGTGCTAGAAAAAGTCGTGTCTTTGTTGGAGATTACGGGGGACAGGACGAACTGAGCATTGAGAATTTTCAAACAGGAGCTTTCTTTTTTTTCGGCTTACGCGTTGTTCGTTTGAGAAAACCGTATAATGTATGAGCTAGCAGGTTTTATCAAGTACCGTCGAAAATGGCATGTTCAGTGTAATAAATAGCAATTCATTAATAAGGGCAATCATCGAAATCGAAAATATCCTACTATATATAAGCGGCTAGCGTGTGTCTGTTGGTGTGTCCGTGTGTGTGTGTGTGTGTTTGACCGGAAATTCATAGCTCGAGTCACAGTAACGATAGCGCAGTGGTTCTTACATATGTTATAGGGGGTGGGATGGGGACACAAGTGGTACGTGATAGGAACTGATAACGACTGATAATAGCTGATAAGAGGGGCTAGAAAGCGAGCATCGCCAATTTCGTTTTGCCGTTCATATTGGTAAAAGAGCGTCTATACTTACAAGTGTTATGTGGGGCGGTCCCGGGACATTGGTGGTACATGATTGGAAGCGATAGCAACTGATAAGATGCGCTAGAACGCAAAAGTCGTCGATTCCGTTGCCTGGCTCGCGTTGACACCAGAGCAACCATACTTACAAGTGTTATGTGGGGTGGGACGGGGACATTGTTGGTGGGTGCCAGAAACTGATAACGATTGATAAGGGCCGATAAGGCGCGCCAGAACGCTGAAGTCGTCGATTCCGTTGCCTGGCTCGCCTTGACACCAGAGCAACCATACTTACAAGTATTATGTGGGGTGGGACGGGGACATTGTTGGTGGGTGCCGGAAACTGATAACGATTGATAAAGGGCTGATAAGGCGCGTCAGAACGTAAAAGTCGTCAGTTTCGTTACGCAGCTCGTTGCTGACAGAGAGCGTCCCTACTTACAAATTGTAGTAAGTCGTAGTGTACAAACAAAGGTACGTGCACATTTTCGATATATATCCAGCTTACTCAATAGAATTCGACTGCATAAACTTTAAAAAACAAGTCTTCAGCAAATGATAAGTTTCATTTCTGACTAAGAAAACCCAAACTCATTAAACCGCTAATCCTTTCGTGGTTCTAAATAATGATGAATGTAAATGAATGATAAGCATTAGCTCCTCACTTATGTAAATAGGCATATTTCGTTTTGATTTTGAGACTGACAGCAATCCTATTCACCGCTAAATTATCTTAATTCAAGAAAAATGCTGGATGTTTACAGTTGTGATCAATATACCAGTTCAGCTCAGACGTTATCACGCGTATTCTCGATGAGCTTCAGTGAAACTGTGGAGGGTCTAACACAGTCAATAGTGAGATGCGCGCGATAGCGGGCGAAGCAAAACTGGTATTATAATAAGCGGCTAGCGTGTGTCTGTTGGTGTGTGTGTGTGTGTGTGTGTGTTTGACCGGAAATTCATAGCTCGAGTCACAGTAATGATAGCGCAGTGGTTCTTACATATGTTATAGGGGGTGGGATGGGGACACAAGTGGTACGTGATAGGAACTGATAACGACTGATAATAGCTGATAAGAGGGGCTAGAAAGCGAGCATCGCCAATTTCGTTTTGCCGTTCATATTGGTAAGGAGCGTATATACTTACAAGTCTTATGTGGGGCGGTCCCGGAACATTGGTGGTACATGATTGGAAGCGATAGCAACTGATAATGGCTGATAAGATGCGCCAGAACGCAAAAGTCGTCGATTCCGTTGCCTGGCTCGCGTTGACACCAGAGCAACCATACTTACAAGTGTTATGTGGGGTGGGACGGGGACATTGTTGGTGGGTGCCAGAAACTGATAACGATTGATAAGGGCTGATAAAGGCGCTAGAACGCAAGTGTCGCGAAATTCATAGCTCGGGCACCAGTGGTCGTCAGGAGTTGGTTTCAAGATATGATATAGGGGGTGGGACGGGAACATATTTGGTGGGGTAAGAAAGTGATAACAACTGATAAGGGCTGATAAAAGGCGCTAGAACGCAAGTGTCGCGAAATTCATAGCTCGGGCACCAGTGGTCGTCAGGAGTTGATTTCAAGATATGATACAGGGGTGGGACGGGAACATACTGGGTGGGGGACAAAGTGATGCACCTATTTAATCTGATGAGGATCGTCATTTGAAAGGAAGAGCGTTTAAAGATTGTTATCTAGATGCACAAAAAAAACCATTAGTTTGCGATTTCGTCGTTACCATCGAAATTGCTTAAACCGCTAATCCTTCCGAGCTTTCTGGGATGGTCGGTGTTTGTGCATAACGAGTGTTGGTGCTTTCAATGTCGTAGACGTAAGAATAGACGTAAGTATTGCAACCGCTAGATATTCACAAATCAAGCATGTAGTGTTCATGCAATCATGGATAGCGAACAAACTATCGTGTACTTCCAGACAATAGGTTATTAGGTATCTAAGTTTTCGCCGTAGACCAAGTTAGTTCGAAAAATGATAGATGGACAACGTTTGTGGGTTGACGAGCTCCCGTAAATAATTGCTTATCACCAGCAGTATAGTCACCTTCGTTAATAACATCTCTCAGATTCATCAAAAGCATGAGTGCTGTTCAACAGAAGAGCCCGGCTGTGCTCATTTTTCTTACCGCCTATGTACTTTGACATGCGCGCGGTAGCGAGCGGAGCCAAACTCATTAAACCGCTCAACTTTAGGATTTGCGAAGAGTGTGAATGTAAAGCAAAAGATAAGCATCAGATCTCACTTTTAAGGAGCATATTTCATTTTCATTCTAAGGCTAATAGCAAAACCTAATCACCGCTATATTGTCAGGATTCAGAAAAATGCTAGGTGTTTACGAGTTGTGATAAATATTACGACTCAGCTTCGCATTCCCGCGCATGTATGATGGACTTCAATGAAAAAAGTGGAGATCCTCCAACCTCAGGTCACTCCACTGACATATCCAATAGTGAGCTCTTTGTGATTAGATACAGATGTTCTTAATTCCGCCGGTTGCTTAAAGAACTTACATGTTTGGCGCGATAGCGGCGGGGAAAGTAAAAACTGGTGTGATTAAAGAAAGCATTAAAGTTCCAAATATTTCGACGCGACATGTCTGAGAAAAGTTGCATGCCATCAAAACACTTTTCTTCTTGTCCATCGTTTTATTGATGTGTACTGCTTTGCCGAGTCGAGCAACATTGTTTGTTTATCGTCGCTATTGTCAAAAGGAAAGGTCGAAATTATAAAGTGCCCTGTCTTGTGGTGAATTCAACATTTCAGTTAGAAGTAGCGCAGGCTCATCGAATTCAACCGGCACATTGTTATTGATATTACCAGGTATAAGAAGGCAGCCAAAATGTGTCGTGTTGTCTTCTTTTCTTACGAAAGAGTACTTATAGCTCATTCGATGGTATTGTGTAAAGGAGTTTGTCGCCCATTTTGGCTCTACATTCTGCATGTACTCTGTACCTCCATACTCTGACTACTATTTATGTTTACTTAAAACTGATTAGATCACTATGTTCAGTGTTTAGATGTGCAACAGGTTTATTTTCAGAAATGGTTCGAATCTTCTGATCCCACTGACCTTTATCTGCCGGCGTTGGTATTGGCGTCAAAGTTTCTTCACGATTCGGACACATATGATAGGGCATCAAATGCCGAATGGTCTGAAGCAGCTAACATTTCTACTCAACATCTGAATCAATTAGAATGGGAGTTCGTGCAGAGACTAGTGAGTATCTAGCGAGATTACTCCTTCGTTCCTTTTCTCACGTGAAGCATTCTTTTTCCGTAACACCAGTATTTTCCTTGTTGTTACAGAACTGGAACGTGATGGTTGAAGAAGCCGAGTTTGATCGATGGTTAGGCTTTTTCGAATATTGGGTCGCGAATGATTTCCTTGCGAAGAATGGCTTCTGCACCCGCAATGAAATTGCTCAGCTCAGCTCAGGCTTACCTCTTATGGCGATGATTCAATCACTGGTTTCTTTTTTCAGCTTGATGACCTTAGTGTACACTTTTTCTGTAGTATCACTCTTTGCCGTGCCATGTTCTTTGCGTACAGACTTCGGTATTGTCGAAAACTCAACTGGAAAAGCCGCCCTGTCTCCCCGTATTCAGGGGTGGGAATTTATCATTAAGCTTGGAGATACCAACATACGTACTGGAACGAAAACGCTGTTGATGTAGAAGGAATTAACGCGGAGACGTCAATTTGTGATTCAAATTCCAGTGCATTGGCTGGTGAAGCAAATATAAATGTATTCGCTTGTGGAATCAACGAGTTAGGTCTGCTCTCAGAAATTGATCTTTGTAAAGACATAACCACCATCTTACTGATTTTTTGATATACTCGCTTTTCGATAACCTTTCTTGAGACTGTCGATTTGATATGTCAATAAACATGGAAACATGTGTTGAGGTATTCAGTTGGAGTTATATGTTTAATTCTTTTGCTCTCGCGTTATTACAAAAATAGTGGTCAAGCCTTTTTATATATAACCTCATTACCATTTGGCTACTGTTGGTGCACATGCGTATCGAACGGTATCGAGAATTCCTCGACCATCGCTCTCTGCTGTGCGAGAGTAGAGCCGATAGTGAATGTACGCGCGGAGAGCACAGACGGCTCGCGGGTGGCGAGAGTGAATATCCGCGCGCGAGAACGTAAAGGATCAGGCGAAAATCCTCGACGTGCCGTTGAGGAATCCTCAAGCAATATTCACCCTGCTTTCAGGGATGGGTTTGTCCCTTTATAATGAGGAAATGCTGGACCCATATCTTGGAGTTTTTGTGATTTTTGACGTAATATAAAGATTGATTCTCCACTGTAACAGTTCCACCTGATACTGAAGAACATGGCCAGCCGCTGACCCCATGAAAGCTGCCACAACCCTCCTCCAGCACAGTTTAAATTCTGCAAAGTTTGTAGAGCTTGATCGCCGTCGATCTATTCAGCAAAGCTTCGTGGACTATAGAGAAGAATCCGCTCTTTATTGTACGTCGCAAATCTGTAGAAAACGAGTCGCTTTTATCACATAAAACAAGCTACAATTTGATGGACGACCCTTCAAATTGGTGATTTGTCGCGGCACGCCCCTATCAAATTTTTGGAATTTCCAGCAACTTCCGTATCACATATACGTCTAGGTTGGGGAGAACGTCTCAATGGTCCTGCTTACGAGTGCCTCGATCAGAAGTTTTGGTTAGTCGCTGGCAACGTCCGATATCCGACACATTCTCTCATCATACCCAAGGCTCTCGCTTTCGTTACAATAAGCTTTTTGAACAACTGCTTCAGAGCATATTTATTGCGAATCTAAGCCAAGTGCATCGTTAATATCTTGACCTGTTCCCGCTACTTTCAGGTCTATTTGAAGCTAGAAAAAGAAAATTATGCCAATCGTGTTGAGCTGAGCTTGGATAGAGCAAGGGGAACTTTTCAGAATGGTTTCCATACCGATTGCAGTTTTTCTGGATTTCAAGGAAAATAAAGCATCCAAAAGTGGAGTGTCAGAAAACGACAGAACTTTTTGGAAGACCTAATAAATACTCCTTAGGAGCCCAGGTGCGCTGTAAGAGTCTACGCAAACCTTTGTTTTGTCGTTCTTATTGTATTTAAAAAATTGAGCACGCGTTGCCTTTATAAAGAACTCCCTGCTCGCCGCCGGTTCTTCATCACATCATTATCAAGCCGTCGCTCTTTTGCGTTCGACATTCCCCAATTCGATTGTGTGCTTCCTGCATCTCCTCCCATGCCCAATCCATACTAAACTTGACCCAACGTCCTACGCGATTCGCGGGCATACATGTATGTATTGATAGGTAAAATAGGCGTTAGCCATCTTGCCTTATACCTTCATGAGTTTGCTTTATAGCGACATAAGCACAACAGTTAGAAAGAGTGAGGATGGGAATAAGGGACCAGTTCGACGTTCAGGCAGCAACCTTGAAGGGGTCAGACGATAAACGTAATAGAGAAAAAAAAACTGAAGGCAACTGCGGCATCTCGCCAATGGCCGATGTCAGACTTTGCGATTGGAGCGATTGTGCACCAATTGCAGGAGCGACGGGAGATTTACACGGCCGACCACCGATAATTCGGCGCCATCAGCTCGTAAATCTCCCGTCGCTCGCAGCTCCCTGCCACAACGGCCAAGGAGGCACATCACGGCCCGAGCGATGGATCGCTTGAGCGATCCGTCGCTCCAAAGTGCGAGCGACGGGAGATTTACGAGCTGATGGCGCCGAATTATCGGTGGTCGGCGGTGTAAATCTCCCGTCGCTCCTGCAATTGGTGCAAAATCGCTCCAATCGCAAAGTCTGACATCGGCCAATGTACGCGCTCCCTTTATACACACAGTTGGCCTACTCCAGTAAGGAGGGGCTTTATGGTGTATGAACTGCTCCGATCCCAACTTTGCGAGAAGAATCCTTCAAAGATATAAGCTGCTGGCAACTCCATTCCTACGACAATTCTTCGGTTTCCTGTGTGTTGCAAGGGTTTTTGCACAAAATGGCGCGAAGAAGCAATTGTGACTCAGGAAGGGGCAAGCATTCTTGATGACTAACTATAAGCCAAGAAGGGGAAGGCTTCGAAGGAGGCGAAGACTGCTTACGCACCGTGGGATCTCCTCCTTGTGCTTAGTACTACCAATCGTTTATATAAAAAGAAACGGGGTGTGGTTCACTAGGACAGTTTTTCCCTTTTCGCAGCCCGAAACCTTTTGCACTGCAAGGAGCCTGGATCCTCTCATGATCAGAGGTGATATAGGGTTCCTGAGCGGGCAAAGTTTCGTGCAGCGAAAGATGTAAAAGTCGCTCTTGGTTCTAGCGATCCACACACTGTATTGGATAGCAGAATGACGGTTGCTAATGGAATAGAATAAGCTATCAAACAGAGTGTGCGACGTTTGCAGTTTTAGCAGAGCACATCAAAGGCTTTTTCCACAGTCAGCTAACGATGTGGTGGACATTTAATTGGGATGGAAATGAACCAACTCCTTCGGAGCAATGATTTCACGCTCGAATCAGAAACGCGCACAAAGCACGCGCTGCAAACGCTGCCAGTTTTCTGGCACATGGGCGACCCAGTTTTCGATTTACGGCCTTTTTGTTGTGAAATAGCTATACTATTGAATACCTTCTCCTTAGGTATCCTTTACAAACTTTACAGTTTGTTCTCTCTTGTCTCTCTCTTATTCAATTTTTGAGTTGGAATTCATCCTTGTGTGTCCTTTATATGTACATGTGGCTGTAATCCAATGTCGCTTTGTTGTTGTTTTCGAACTTCAGTAAGAAACTTCGTTTGTTAACTCCTGGGGCCGTATGCTATCCTCCCCGAAGAGGTTGGGGACGAAAAGTCCTTTAAATTTTCTCTGTCTTCCCAACTGGGATTGCCCTGATAAAGGCCTACATTTAATGTATGTATGTAGGTAAAGTAAACATGCACTGAAAATGAAGAAACTATCGTTCAAAACAAATAAATTCAAAGGAAACTTTGGGTCACTGAGCTTCAAACATACAGGAAAACATAGCATACGGACCTTCTGATGTTTAACAAGAATGCTGACTTTGCTGACTTATGGGCAAAACTTAATAAAAAGTAGTTGAAGGAACTTTAACTTACCGACTCCTTTTTACAAGAGCTTAGTTAGGTGTGCAGTGGTGCGCATCGTTTTTTTTTTCGGCGGAATCGGTTCTCATTGTAGAAATTTTCAGTGTAACTTGAAACCATATTTTTTAGGCCATGGCTCCGCAGTTTCCTGATTTTAGACGAGTTCGAAGGCGAATCCGGAGAACGTTGTGTTATGGATCGAAGCAACCACAGAATGTCAACTTACCGCTTTCCGGTATATAGTTTATCGTTGTCATTCTTTAACACTTGAATTCCGGCCTTTTTAAAATAGAGTTGTCACTGTTTTCTCTTGGAGCCAGTGTGGAGCTATGTGCTAGTGACGACATTACTTCTAGTCCAGTGCCAGATTTACTTTAAACCTAGAATATGACGTGCGTAAGGATGTCGTTGACTATTTCGCGCACAATACTTTCACATCAGTCTCCACTGCGATATGACTTTTTACGACTAGGCCGTTCCTTTGATTCAGAAGAACTACTGGGGCGTCGGACGGAAAACCCCGGGTGTGGTAATTTCGGGGTATTGCGTCATGCAAACATTGAGAGAAAAGAAGCTAATCTGAGGGCCGTCATAGGGATGCTGCTCACGGGCACACTGCTTGCGCGGGAATCGCACCTGCAGCTCTTTTTTAGGCAATGTGCCATTGACCAACGAAAATGGTGGTTCACTGCTGATGTCCGCCAATCAGTTCATACGTAAATGTTGATAAGCTATGGTAAAACACCAATTGAAAGCTAGGTTAATAGGAGGGTTGTGCCCCGGTGGTGTAATGGTTCTCTTAAAGTGAAAGGTGCGATTCGGTCACGTCTGAAGGAACTGTTTACCATCACACGGCATCCCTGTAGTAACTTCTGCATGGTTGCATCGAAAAATACCAGTTAGCAATCTAATGCAATTTTTGGGTATCCTTTCTGGAGAGTCGGCATTTTGATTGTCTAGTTCTTAGTAGGTTGCAGTTTAGTAGCGGTCTAGGCAACAAAGAAAGTTTCTAGACTCATTACAAGTGTAAGTAGATATGATAATCGAATTTGATTTAACACGTTGACGACCGTGTGGTATGATGTCATACCACACTCTTTCGGCCACGTGGGACCGTGTGACATGATGTCATGTCACAGTCTTTTTTAAGCTGGTTTTCAAACATTTTAGGTAACTTATTTACGTGATGTATGCGCCATACTTAGGCATTGTTACAAAAGGCGTGGTCCCTGGAAAGAAGCTTCGGTTAATGGGCTATCGAGTTTTTCAAAAAATGTTTGAATAATGATCAGTAGTCGCACTTTTTGTGCTTAGGCTGAAATTGATCGGTACAAAAAATGTTTGCAATAACAATTTGCTACAGTGGGTGAGGACACTTTTGGTCGGAGACGGACATATGCGCGTCCTTTGATCCTGCATAGTTGTAGCCGCTTCTGCGTTGTCTGTGAACGTTTTCCTTTGCCTCCGTTCCTCCTTTCCCACGAACCTTCGAGTCTATGAGTGGTTTTCGACATGTAAGTCCGATTGTAATCCAACGCTCATATTATAAGCTAGAGATAAGGGGACCAGGAAGCAGGGTGAATAACGGTCGAGGAAATCCTCGACCATAGCTCTCTACCATGCGAGAGTAGTGCCGAGAGTGAACATCCGCGCGGAGAGCACAGACGGCACGGCATGGCGAGTGTGAATGTCCGCGCGAGAGATCGTCTCTGATCGGGCAGAGAATCCTCGACGTGCCGTTGAGGAATCCTCAAGCGATATTCACCCTGCCAGGAAGTGATTCTAAGAGAGTACCTCTTAATCGCACGTTAGCTTTGGCCCTTTCTACGCACTCTCAAATCGCAGGAATAGCTGAAATGACCAAAATCGCAAAATCCGAGACCTACCACACAAGAAAGATAAAAAAAAGTTCCCAAAAAGGTGTTCTCGTGGGACCGTGTGACATGATGTCATGTCACATTCGCGCGGTCCCACACTCCAGACAGCGAAAACGAGCGCGGTCGTCAACGTGTTAAACTGCGAAGTGGGTATCAACAAACTAGCAGAAACTGCTTGACGAGAAGTTTTTTTTTTGAAATCTCATTGTCTTCTGCTGTGAATTATTATTTGATTCCTTTTATTATACTTTGTTTCTGGTGCTGAAATTGTTCCAATTTATGCGTGCTCGATCAGTAGTTAACCCATTGCGGACCGCGTGCTGCACCATGTGCAGCACGCCACCACGCGGAGAAGGATAGTAATCTTCGATTTTTTCAGCATTTTGCTAAGTTACAAAATCAGCAGTTTACTTTTTCAGACACAGGATATATCAATATTTGCGTACTGGTTAAATTTTCGATAGATTATTGGCCACTGATAAAAGAGATGACAAAAACCTACGGAGGTGCAATTATAACGGCGGTCCGCAATGGGTTAATATAAAAAATTGAACAATTTGTTTCATAGTAGTTTTTGAGAATCAAGTGTCTTGTAACGTGCCCTTCTGTGCGGAGGTATCAGAATTTACTTTACTCGATTTTGCACCGCGATTCTCTTCCGTCGTTCTGGATCATTGCGACTGACCGGAGTGCAAGGAGTCAAGTTATCTAACGCAGTAGCTTTTGGCCATGCCCTGATAGTGCACCGTCCTAGGTTTCAGTGTAGGAGCGCTTGGCAAGTTCATAAAAATAGTGGTGTTTTTAGTAGACAACGGCGCAATTCGTTTTGGAGCTTATTGTTACTGATTTCATTTTTTAAGAAAATGAATTTCAGAGCTTGTTGTGGACTACTTCAATAAACGGAGTCCTTTCGATTACATCAGTCCAGAAACGTCTGCGAGCATTTCGGATCGTGGATATGCCGATCCGTGTACTCTCGTCGTTGCCATGGTTTATCTCGACCGACTTCGGGTAAACGATAAGGTGCGTTGGTGATTGTAGTCGAGGTTTTATGGTATCGTTTCTCTTCCGTTCCCTTAATTGAATATTATTTTTTATTTGTCTTGCGTTTCTGCTAAGATCATCGCATTCTGTCGAGTTCCGTTTACTCTAGTCCAAACACTCCTTGTACCTTAGGACATATTCAAGATGTGTAGTACGAACAGTTGAGCCACTCTCATTCAAAAATGGGCGCTTTCAGAAACTTCTTAGATATTTTCTGGATGCATATGCACCACCATGCGGCGCACGCCAAACCAGGCTTGAAGGCCGGCGTGAACCAGATGGTAGCGCTCGTTTTTTGAAATATTATTCTCCCATAATTTACGTAGAATTTCAAGTAATCTGGGTGTACCATCGTACACTCTCAACCCTAAAGACTAACATACGTTTCCAGGATCAAAACGGCTTCATGTTCCCCAAATTTACAAGAATCTCAGTAAAATGCTTTCATGTGTAGATCCTTTCTTGCTAATTCTTTCTTTTTTTGACTTATTGAAACATACTACTCAAAATCATCGCAAATAATGACGATGAAAGAAAGAAAAAACATAAGAAGCTTATGAGAAAGTGTTACTTAGGAAGTATGCAGAAATTCAATTAAGGAAAAAAACCGTTTGTTCTTATAATTTAACTTCCGATCTTGCTTTGTTTTAATGTTGGAAATCTGCCCGTTTGATATACAGTAACTTCCATTACGTGCTTTATTTTTGCTATTATTGAACAGATTTTCGAAGAGTTTCGTGCTGTTAGGCACTCTTTTTCAAGCTCAGGTCACTCACGTCATTTTTGGTCATTCCTCTTTTTAATATTCTCCTCACATTTCGGGTCGGTAGTTCTCATTCTCTTGCGGGTTCAGTTTAGAGGTATTCCTTCTCTTTCCACTGCTTTGCAGTTTGCTAGACGGCTCGATGAAATACCGTGAGTTTTAAAGGAATCGTTCAGCTCTCAGTTTAGCTGTTTGCTTGCCGAGTAATCGCGTCGGAAGTTGACTAGGTCATTACCAAAACTGAAATGTCTTCCCGCAAACCAATACTTAGCAATAAATAAACAGTTTTAAAAGGAGAAGCTTTGAAACGAGCGAAATGTCACGCGCACGTAATTTTTCGCCCTTTGTTGTTTTAATCACTAATTACTTCATTGATATCAGAAATCTTCAAAAAATTATAAATCGACTGGCATGTAGCCGTTAAGTGGCAGGCCTGTCATCATCTGTAGGCCGGGGTAGCCACCTACATTTGGAAACCAGTCAAACCTTGCTGAACTTAAAGTACAACATCTTGCTGGGATATTTTCCGTCACATTGGCCTGATCGCGAACAGTTGCGGACAGCACTTCGACATTCTTTTGGCTAAAAGAAGTGCTAGAAAAAGTCGTGTCTTTGTTGGAGATTACGGGGGACAGGACGAACTGAGCATTGAGAATTTTCAAACAGGAGCTTTCTTTTTTTCGGCTTACGCGTTGTATGGTTTGAGAAACCGCATGTGGAGCTAGCAGGTTTTTATCACCAAGTCCATTCGAAAATGGATGTTCAGTGTATATAAAAGCCACATATCATTAAAAGGGCAAACATCGAAAATCAGAAATAATGATTAAGAAAGCATTAAGGTTCCAAATTTCGACGCGACATTTCTGATGAAAAGTTGCGTTTTCCATCAAACACTTTTCCTTCTTGCGAGATCTTGTCATCGTTTGTCACTTGATTGTGTACGTGCTTTGCGAGTACGAGGCAACATTGTTTTTTTATTCGTCGCTATTGGTCAAAAGGAAAAGTTTCGAAATTATAAAGTGCCCTGTCTTGTGGTGAATTCAACATTTCAGTTAGAAGTAGCACAGGCTCATCGAATTCAACCGGCACATTGTTATTGATATTACCAGGTATAAGAAGGCAGCCAAAATGCTGTCGTGTTGTCTTCTTTTCTTACGAAAGTACTTATAGCTCATTCGCGATGGTATTGTGTAAAGGAGTTTGTCGCCCATTTTGGCTCTACATTCTGCATGTACTCTGTACCTCCATTATAATGTGTTACTAAACTGATTATGATCACTATGTTACAGGTTTAGATGTGGCAACAGGTTTTATTTTCAGAAATGGTTCGAATCTTCTGATCCCACTGACCTTTATCTGCCGGCGTTGGTATTGGCGTCAAAGTTTCTTCACGATTCGGACACATATGATAGGGCATCAAATGCCGAATGGTCTGAAGCAGCTAACATTTCTACTCAACATCTGAATCAATTAGAATGGGAGTTCGTGCAGAGACTAGTGAGTATCTAGCGAGATTACTCCTTCGTTCCTTTTCTCACGTGAAGCATTCTTTTTCCGTAACACCAGTATTTTCCTTGTTGTTACAGAACTGGAACGTGATGGTTGAAGAAGCCGAGTTTGATCGATGGTTAGGCTTTTTCGAATATTGGGTCGCGAATGATTTCCTTGCGAAGAATGGCTTCTGCACCTACAATGAAATTGCTCAGCTCAGCTCAGGCTTACCTCTTATGGCGATGATTCAATCACTGGTTTCTTTTTTCAGCTTGATGACCTTAGTGTACACTTTTTCTGTAGTATCACTCTTTGCCGTGCCATGTTCTTTGTTGCGTACAGACTTCGGTATTGTCGAAAACTCAACTGGAAAAGCCGCCCCTGTTCCACCGCTCCATTCATCTCAAGCGGTGGGAATTCTCATTAATCTTGGAGATAACCAACATACGTACTGGAACGAAAACGCTGTTGATGTAGAACGAATTAACGCGGAGACGTCAATTTGTGATTCAAATTCCAGTGCATTGGCTGGTGAAGCAAATATAAATGTATTCGCTTGTGGAATCAACGAGTTAGGTCTGCTCTCAGAAATTGATCTTTGTAAAGACATAAACCACCATCTTACTGATTTTTTGATATACTCGCTTTTCGATAACCTTTCTTGAGACTGTCGATTTGATATGCTAATAAACATGGAAACATGTGTTGAGGTATTCAGTTGAGGTTATATGTTTAATTCTTTTGCTCTCGCGTTATTACAAAAATAGTGGTCAAGCCTTTTTATATAACCTCATTACCATTTGGCTACTGTTGGTGCACATGCGTATCAGCGGTGATCGAGTGATAAAAAAAGGATAAAGCATTTGCCGTTGATCAATCCCTTTTTGGGATGCGGCACGCATTCTACTTCCATTTGTACATTCGTAGTGGCGTTTGAATGCGATATACAATGACTTGCGGGGCCAGCCGATGTTCAAGTCAGTGTTTTTATCCTC